TCCATATATATATATATATATATATATATATATATATATATATATATATATATATATGTATATTATCGATGTGTTGACCCATTTGTAGAATCAAATTTACTTCAAAATTAATAATAGGCCTAATAATAATAGTTAATTATAATGGTATATGATTGTTTTTATATGAAATTATTTTGAGAAATTATTTATCAAATACATAAAATGGGGTCTATCATTTTAACATTTTGAAAATATTTATTTTATAGGAACAAACTGTGGAAATCGGCAATGGTCTGTTTGAGGACCACTTTGAAGTGAGTGTGAAGATGAGTTCGTACCTGCTGGCCTTCATTGTCTGTGACTTCAGATCTGTCAGTGGGATGACTGCAACCGGAATTAATGTAAGTAACTAGAGCTTAGAAAGGGTTAAACAACATGAAGCAGAAACATGTGAACACAACAGCTTTTTCTGCTTGTATGAAGTTTTCATCACAGGCTCTCGGGTGAGAAATGCATTTTGAATGAGTTTTTTCTTCTCCCAAAGATTTCTATTTATGCAGTTCCAGAGAAATGGCATCAGACACACTATGCTCTTGAGGCTGCTTTGAGGCTTTTGGAGTTTTATGAACAATATTTCAACATACTTTATCCACTGCCAAAAATGGGTGAGTATTTCTCTTACCTTTCCTTCCGATGTTTCAATGCATAAGTTATATGATGTGCCTTTGGATATTTTTACTTTTGTTTATTTTATGATGTGTGCCAGACCTGATAGCGATTCCAGATTTCCAGTCAGGAGCTATGGAGAACTGGGGTTTGACTACTTATAGGGAGACATCTCTTCTGTACGACCCTGACATCTCATCAGCCTCTGATAAGCTCTGGGTTACACTGGTGATAGGACACGAGCTGGCCCATCAGGTTATATATAAAATACATTCTCAATCTCATCTGGTATTAGCTAAGCCAATGAATTACAGGAGTAAAGTACTATTAAATGTAAGCGAGTAATTGTAAGTTAAATGTAAGCATCTTTACTACTGTTTGTTTTTCTTTCTTTCTTTTTTTCCCCAGTGGTTTGGTAACCTGGTGACCATGGAGTGGTGGAATGACATATGGCTGAATGAAGGCTTTGCCCGATATATGGAATTTGTCTCACTTGAAGCAGTATATCCAGAGCTTAAATTTGTATGTTCAAGCTTCAGATATTTCTGTTTATATAATGAAAGTTGTAATGTACAGCCAGGCGATCATTATCGTAAACCCTGAAGGGTGATCAAGACCCACGTGTATTACCGTGAAGGGGTTTATTTTGGGACAAAGACTGCCTGAGTGTACATTAGCTATATACAGTATATATATATATATATATATATATATATATATATATATATATATATATATATATATGTGTATATAG